AAATGGTAAATGTTTATAGAGAAATATGAATTTTGCAATTAAGCGCCGCCCCTAAGATCACGACAAATAAAAAAAATCATTACAATTAAGACAGGGCGGGTGGGTGGGGCTCATATTTTGCCTATTTTTTAGTATATTTGGTCTTCTTTTCATAACCGAAAACTTAAAACATGTTTAAAATCGTAAATTTTTATAGGAAAATATACATGTTTCAATTAAGCTCCGTCCCCAAGCTCACGACAAATAAAAAAATCATAATTCATTACAATTGAGACAGGGTGGGTGGGCGGGGCTTATATTTTGTTCTTTTTTGTTATATTTAGTCTTTTATTCATAATCAAAAACTTGAAATATGTTTAAAATGTTAAATTTTAATAGCGAAATATGAATTTTGCAATTAAGCTCCGCCCCCAAGATCATGACAAATAAAATAAAACATGTTTAAAATGTAAATTTTTATATAGTGTCGTTTTTTAAAGAATTCGAAAAACTTCCGCGGCCTCGAGTATCTTTCATAGAATTTATAAAAACCTCGGGGTCCCCACTGTTTTTTATAGAATTTAAAATAATCTTGGGGACTTCTAGTGTCTTTCTTTCTATAATTTTAAAAGAATTTCGAGTCCCCTGGTGAGTTTGGTGTTGTGTGTATTTTTTTTAAATAGAATTTGAGAGGATCTCGGAGGCTCGTTCGTCTTTTTATTTAATTTAATAAGAATCTCAGAGTCCTGTAGTGTTTTTCTTATATAGAATTCAAAAGAACGTCTGGGTCTTTTTATATAGAATTTAAAAGACTACTGGGGAACACTTGTGTCCTTTTCTATAGAATTTAAAAGAACCTCTGGCTCCCCTAGTGTCTTTTTTTAAAGAATTAAAAGAACCTCCGGGGCTTCGAGTATCTCTTTCATAGAATTTATTAAAATCTCGGAGACTCCCAATTTTTTTTATAGAATTTAAAACTTTGTCTTTATATAATTTTAAGAGAAGAAGCGAGAAGAAACTGGAGTCCCTTGGAGTTTGGTTTTCGAAAGAATTTGAAAAAATCTTTGTTCCTGAATAAATTTGAAAGACCCGGGGACCACAAAACATATAATTTATTACAGTTAACAACGATAAATAATTCATCATCTTCGGAGCGATGTAATAGCGACAGTGATTAGGTAAATTATTCTTGTTTTTCATCATTCATTATGTGAATCTTGTTTTTAATAACCAGTGTTTATTTTAGGCTTCGCTACTTTGTAAATAATTGCTTATATACTATATAGATATATTGTAGCAATTTATTGTTTTAAATATTGTTCCTATGTGCATCCTCTACTCCGAGGTGTCTTTATGACTAATAGTACATTCAATCTGGCAACTGTCATTATATTTATTTATAGAAGCGAACTATTTTAATTAGGAATGGTCTGTGGAAGTATGTTAATGGAGCATTAAAGAAACCAGAAAAACCGGAGGAAAATATCACTGCAGAATTCGAATTATGGAGCGAAAACGATGAACTTGCGAAATCGAAAACTCGTAAATGAAAATTTCGTGTCTAGAGCGACAGCCACAACTGGCGTTCGATCTAGCGGAAAATAAATTAAAAGTGGCCGTTTTTGAGAGATAAGTGAATACAAGAATGCGTATTTACCAGGATTTTTATTTTTTAGTTGCCGCTTTTACCAATCTTGCACAAATTTCCGCTGCTTTCTCTTTCCCCAGGTCCATTATTCTCTCTAATCATCCATTGCAGCCGCAAACCAGCATCCCAACTATTCAAAGCTTTTCCACTTTTTAGCGACCGATGTAGTAGTTAGTGATGCACAGTTGAGCGCAAAAACTTAATTAAACGTTTCATTACCTGCATACCTTAGCTAGTTTCAAAGTCAGGAAATCGTTAACGAAAATCGGGTTGATAAGTCCGGTGGGCGGGGCTTGTATTTGATAAGATAAGACTGATTTTGGCCAATGACATACCCTCTAAGAATATTTAGGATTTCTGGAATTTTTGGAGTCTCGAAATATCCCGAATTTTTGGAATTTGTGCAATCTCTGAAAACCATGGAATTTTCGAAATTTTTGGGATATTTAAATATAATCCTGGGAATCTTCAAAATCTTCACAACTTTTGGAATTTTTAGCCTTCGAACTATTTAGTGTCTTCATATTCTTTAGAATCTCTGGAATCTCTAGTTTCAGAAAACCGGGAATCTTTGGAATTGCGGAACCTTGGAAATCTTTAAAGTATTTGGAATCTTTATAGTATTCAGAATCTTCAAAATCTTCAGTTTTCATAAGTTTTGGAAGCTTCGGTCTTCGAAATTTTTAGAATTTCTGGAATCCCTAGAGTCTCATAATATCGAAAATTTTTGGAATTTTTGGAACATTTGGAATCTTTGAAATATATGGAATCTTCATAATTTTCAGAAGTCTTGGAATCTTCGGTCTTCGAAATATTCAGAAACATGAGAATCTGTAGAATCTTTAGAATCTTGTCAAGACGTGCTAGAGCCTTTAGAATCTGTAGCATCTCTAAAATCTGTAGATTATTTAGAACCTTTAAGATCATTAGAATTTTTAGATTATTTAGAATCTAAATTCGTTAGAATCTCTAAAATCGCTAGAATACGACTATGTATAAAGAATTTTCAGAATCTTCTGAATATTTAGGGTTTCTGGAATCTCTGAGGTCTCGAAATATCCGGATTTTTTGGAATTTGTGCAATCTCTGGAAACCATGGAATTTTTGAAATTTTTCGAATATTTAAATATAATCCTGGGAATCTTCAAAATCTTCACAACTTTTGGAATTTTCAGCCTTCGAACTGTTTAGAGTCTTCATATTTTTTAGAATCTCTGGAATCTCTAGTTTCGGAAAACCGGGAATCTTTGGAATTGCTGGAACCTTGGAAATCTTTGAAGTATTTGGAATCTTTATAGTATTCAAAATCTTCAAAATCTTCAGTTTTCATAAGTTTTGGAAACTTCGGCCTTCGAAATCTTTACAATTTCTGGAATCCCTAGAGACTCATAATATCTAAAATTTTTGGAATTTTTGGAACATTTGTAATCTTTGAAATATATGGAATGGTCATAATTTTCAGAAATCTTAGAATCTTCGGTCTTTGAAATATTCAGAAACATGAGAATCTGTAGAATCTTTAGAATCTTGTCAAGACGTGCTAGAGCCTTTAGAATCTGTAGCATCTCTAGAATTTGTGGATTATTTAGAACCTTTAGAATCACTAAAATTTTTAGATTATTTAAAATCTAAATTCGTTAGAATCTTTAAAATCACTAGAATACGAGTATGTATATAGAATTTTCAAAATATTATGAATATCTAATGTTTCTGGAATCTCTGAAGTCTCGAAATATCCGGATTTTTTGGAATTTGTGCAATCTCTGGAAACCATGGAATTTTTGAAATTTTTGGAATATTTAAATATAATCCTGGGAATCTTCAAATCTTCACAACTTTTGGAATTTTCAGCCTTCGAACTATATATTTAGAGTCTGCATATTATTTAGAATCTCTGGAATCTCTAGTTTCGGAAAACCGAGAATCTTTGGAATTGCTGGAACCTTGGAAATCTTTAAAGTATTTGGAATCTTTATAGTATTCAGAATCTTCCAAATTTTTAGTTTTCATAAGTTTTGGAACTTCGGTCTTCGAAATCTTTACAATTTCTGGAATCCCTAGAGTCTCATAATATCGAAAATTTTTGGAATTTTTAGAATCTGTAGAATCTTTAGAATCTTCTCAAGACGTGCTAGAGCCTTTAGAATTTGTAGCATCTCTAGAATCTGTGGATTATTTAGAACCTTCAAGATCACTAAAATTTTTAGATTATTTAGAATCTAAATTCGTTAGAATCTCTAAAATTACTAGAATACGAATGTATATTCTATGTATATAGAATTTTTAGAATCTTATGAATATTTAGGGTTTCTGGAACCTCTGAAGTCTCGAAAGATCCGGATTTTTTGGAATTTGTGCAATCTCTGGAAACCATGGAATTTTTGAAATTTTTGGAATATTTAAATATAATCCTGGGAATCTTCAAAATCTTCACAACTTTTGGAATTTTCAGCCTTCGAACTATTTAAAGTCTTCATATTCTTTAGAATCTATGGAATCTCTAGTTTCGGAAAACCGAGAATCTTTGGAATTGCTGGAACCTTGGAAATCTTTAAAGTATTTGGAATCTTTATAGTATTCAGAATCTTCAAAATTTTTAGTTTTCATAAGTTTTGGAACTTCGGTCTTCGAAATCTTTACAAATTCTGGAATCCCAAGAGTCTCATAATATCGAAAATTTTTGGAATTTTTGGGACATTTCGATTCTTTGAAATCTATCAAATCGATTTTTCTTAGAAGGTATATCATTTGCCAGAATTAGTTTTATCTTAGCAAGTATTAACCCCGCCCACCCACCCTTTATTTTTTTTGAGAGTATGTTATCTGCCGAAATTAGGTAGTACAAGTACAAAATATCTAACTTTTTACGCAAATTTTAACGAAGATTAGGATCTCTGTTTATGCAAAATAATGAAATTTCTAATTATAAATATTCTCTAGGTAGAAAAAAGGAAAATTTCAAAAAATATCTAATTTGTTATGCAAACTTGAACGACGATTGTGGTCTATTTTTTCCAGACTTCACACGCCGTCCCGCTCAGTCCTCGTTTTTTCGTCTCTTTGCCACCAGAAATAACAGCCACCAACTCCGCCGAGTTGATTTGAAGGTGATTTCAAGCGCGTCGAAGCAAACTGAAGCAAATGTCGCTGGAAATTGTGCAGAACGTCTTAAAGGTGTGGTCCAACATTGCACATAAAACGATACGATTTTTTCACATAAACATAAACCAGAACCAATTATAATGAGCGCACGCCGTAAACCGCGCCGGTTTAAATTAAGAAAATTCGCCATTAGTGCCAGAATCCTGATCGTAAAGGCGTTATTTATCGGCGGGAACCGAAGAGGTTTTTTTCGGGGAAAGTCCGGCATTACCTGGATCACCCGCATGGGCAGGCCGGTCTCCTTCGCGAGCTGCTCCCGGATGTGCCGCGTGGGCTTCGGCGTCTGCGAGAAGGCCGTCTTCAGGATCTCGAGCTGCTTGGCTTTGATCGTCGTCCGGGGCCCCCGGCGCTTCGAGCCCGCGCTGCTGTCGTCGGGGCTCTTGTTCTCGGTCTGGGAGTCGCGCATCTCGGCGTCGCCGTCGAGGGAGTTTTGGTCTTCGGAGTCGTCCTGGCCGGTTTTCGAGTCCTGGAAAAGAAAAAGACGGAATTAGAGAAAAACGCCAGCAGGACATTTACTTCTAACTAACTAATTTAACAAGTCTTTGTCTTCCTTTGTTGTCCCCTTTGTTCTCCTCAAGAGTTTTATTCGTACTTGTTTTGAGCTCTTTTTCTGTAAAAAATACGGAGATCTGTCGTGTGTTGTTTTTGTAACACTATGAAAAAAATCTTGGGGGCCTGTTATGTTTTTTATTTTTCAAAGAATTTGAAAGAACCTTGTATTTTAGTTCTGGTATATATGTAGTTTAACTCCGACAGCGGATAAAGTTTGCTCAATCTTTAGAATTAGATCAAAATCTAAAATTATAACCTCCACCGTACCAATTACCAATGTAACTATTGTCAATAACTGTTTTTTTTAGAGGTGCAACTAAAAAAAAATAGTTTTTTTCTCAATTTAAGTTGTTAAATTATCTCATCGAATTAAGCTCGAGATTTTTTGTTGTTGAATTTTTTAAAGAGTTTGAAAGAATCTTGGACAACTTAGTGTTTTATTTCTGACGAGTTTGAAAGAATCTCCGGGGACCCTTGTGTTTTATTTTTAAAATAGTTTGAAAGAATTTCGGGTATTCCTGTTCTGATTTTTGAAAGAATCTGAACAATTCTTGGAAACCTTCATGTATCCTTTTTGAAAGAATTTCAAAGAATCTCGGCTACCACTGTTGTGGTATTTTTGAGTGAGTTTGAAAGAATTTCCGGGATACTTCTTCTTTTATTCTTGCATGATTTTGAAAGAATCTCGGGGATTCCTGGGGTCCTGGTTTTGAAAAAAATTGAAGAATTCTCGGAAACTTCTTGTTTCCTTTTTGAAAGAGTTTGAAAGGTTCTCGGGGATTATTGTTGTCTTATTTTTAAAAACTCCTTGCTTCTTTTCTGAATGAAATTGAAAAAAATTCGAGGCTTTTGTTGTTTTATTTTTTAGTCATTAATAATAAATTAGTTTGAAAGAATTTCGGAGGTTCCTGTTGTCCTATGTTTTTATTTTTTCTTTATCTCGGGGGTCCTTGTTGTGCTGTGTTTAAAAGAGTTTGAAAGAATCTCGGGGGTTCCTGTCATCATAATTTTGAATCAGTTTGAAAGAATCTATAGAAAATCTTATGTTTTATTTTATAAGCTTTTTGAAAGAATCTCGGAAGTTCCTGTTATGTTAATTTTGAAGAAGTTTAAAAGAATTCGGGGACTGCCGTGTTAGATTTTTGAAAGAGTTTGAGAGAATCGCGGGGCTTAATGTTGTGTTATTTTTGAAGAAGTTTGAAAGAATCTCGGGGACTTGTAGTGTTGGATTTTTGAAAAAGTTTGAAAGAATCTCGGAGGTTCCTGTTATTTTTGAAGAAGCTTGAAAGATTCCCGGGAATTCTTATTGTTGTATTTTTGAAAGAGTTTGAAAGAATTCCGGGGGTTTCTGTTGTAGTATTTTTGAATCAATTTGAAAAAAACTCTAGGAAATCTTATGTTTCGTTTTAGAAACATTTTGAAAGAATCTCGGAGATTCCCGTTGTGTTATTTTTGAAGGAGTTTGAAAGAATCTCGGAGGTTCCTGTTATTTTTCAAGGAATTTGAAAGCATCTCGGGGATTTTTATTGTTATATTTTTGAAAGAGTTTGAAAGAATCGCGGGGGTTTCTGTTGTGGTATTTTTGAATCAATTTGAAAGAATCTCAGAGATCCCCGTTATGTTATTTTTGAAGGAGTTTGAAAGAATCTCGGAGACTTCTATTATTGGATTTTTGAAAGAGTTTAAAAGCATCTCGGGGCTTAATGTTGTGTTATTTTTTAAGGAGTTTGAAAGAATCTCGAGGACTTGTAGTGTTGGATTTTTGAAAGAGTTGAAAGAATTTCGGAGACTTCCATTATTTTTCAAGGAATTTGAAAGAATCCCGGAGATTTTTATTGTTGCATTTTTGAAAGAGTGTGAAAGAATCTCGGGGGTTTAAGTTCTAGTATTTTTGAACCAATTTGAAACAGTCTCTAGGAAATCTTATGTTTTATTTTAGAAACATTTTGTAAGAATCTCGGAGATTCCTGTTGTGTTATTTTTGAAGGAGTTTGAAAGAATCTCGGGGACTTCCATTGTTGGATTCTTGAAAGAATTTAAAAGAATCTCGGGGCTTAATATTTTGTTATTTTTGAAGGAATTTGAAAGAATCTCGGAGGTTCTTGTTATTTTTCAAGGAATTTGAAAGCATCTCGGGGATTTTTATCGTTATATTTTTGAAAAAATCCAGGTGGTTTCTGTTGTGGTATTTTTAAATCAATTTGAAAGAATCTCTAGGAAATCTTATGTTTTTTTTAATTTAGAAACATTTTGAAAGAGTTTCAGAGATCCCCGTTGTGTTATTTTTGAAGGAGTTTGAAAGAATTTCGGAGACTTCTATTATTGGATTTTTGAAAGATTTTAAAAGAATCTCGGGGCTTAATGTTGTGTTACTTTTGAAGGAGTTTGAAAGAATCTCGAGGACTTGTAGTGTTGGATTTTTGTAAAGAGTTTGAAAGAATTTCGGAGACTTCCGTTATTTTTCAAGGAGTTTGAAAGAATCCCGGGGATTTTTATTGTTGTATTTTTGAAAGAGTTTGAAAGAATCCCGATGGTTTAAGTTGTAGTATTTTTGAATCAATTTGAAAGAATCTCTAGGAAATCTTATGTTTTTCTAATTTAGAAATATTTTGAAAGAATATCAGAGATCCCCGTTATTTTATTTTTGAAGGAGTTTGAAAGAATCTCGGAGACTTCAATTGTTGGATTTTTGAAAGAGTTTAAAAGAATCTCGGGGCTTAATGTTGTGTTATTTTTGAAGGAGTTTGAAAGAATCTCGAGGACTTTTAGTGTTGGATTTTTGAAAGAGTTTGAAAGAATTTCGGAGACTTCCGTTATTTTTCAAGGAGTTTGAAAGAATCCAAGGGATTTTTGTTGTTGTATTTTTGAAAGAGTTTGAAAGAATTCCGGGGGTTTAAGTTGTAGTATTTTTTAATCAATTTGAAAGAATCTCTAGGAAATCTTATGTTTTATTTTAGAAACATTTTGCAAGAATCTCGGAGATTTCCGTTGTGTTATTTTTGAAGGAGTTTGAAAGAATCGCGGGGACTTCTATTGTTGGATTTTTGAAAGAATTTAAAAGAATCTCTGAGCTTAATGTTGTGTTATTTTTGAAGGAGTTTGAAAGAATCTCGGAGGTTCTTGTTATTTTTCAAGGAATTTGAAAGCATCTCGGGGATTTTTATTGTTGTATTTTTGAAAGAGTTTGAAAGAATCCCGGGGGTTTAAGTTGTAGTATTTTTGAATCAATTTGAAAGAATCTCTAGGAAATCTTATGTTTTTTTTTTAATTTAGAAATATTTTGAAAGAATTTCAGAGATCCCCGTTATGTTATTTTTGAAGGAGTTTGAAAGAATTTCAGAGACTCCAATTGTTGGATTTTTGAAAGAGTTTAAAAGAATCTCGGGGCTTAATGTTGTGTTATTTTTGAAGGAGTTTGAAAGAATTTCGAAGACTTCCGTTATTTTTCAAGGAGTTTGAAAGCATCTCTGGGATTCTTATTGTTGTATTTTTGAAAGGGTTTGAAAGAATCTCGGGGGTTTAAGTTGTATTATTTTTGAACCAATTTGAAAGAATCTCTAGGAAATCTTATGGTTTATTTTAGAAATATTTTGAAAGAATCTCGGAGATTTCCGTTGTGTTATTTTTGAAGAAGTTTGAAAGAATCGCGGGGACTTCCATTGTTGGATTTTTGAAAGAGTTTAAAAGAATCTCCGGGCTTCATATTGTGTTATTTTTGAAGGATGTAGAAAAAATCTCGGAGGTTCCTGTTATTTTTCAAGGAATTTGAAAGCATCTCGGGGATTTTTATTGTTATATTTTTGAAAGAGTTTGAAAGAATCCCGGGACTTCCATTGTTGGATTTTTGAAAGAGTTTAAAAGAATCTCAGGGTTTAATGTTGTGTTATTTTTGAAGGAATTTGAAAGAATGTCGAGGACTTGTAGTTTTGGATTTTTTAAAGAGTTTGAAAGAATTTCGGAGACTTCCGTTATTTTTCAAGAAGTTTGAAAAAATCCCGGGGATTTTTTTTGTTGTATTTGTGAAAGAGTTTGAAAGAATCCCGGGACTTCCATTGTTGGATTTTTAAAAGAGTTTAAAAGAAACTCGGGGCTTAATGTTGTGTTATTTTTGAGACAGTTTGAAAGAATTTCGGAGGTTTCCTTTATATTTCAAGGAGTTTAAAAGAATCTCGGGGGTTTCTACGAAATCTTATGTTTTATTTTAAAAACATTTTGTTATTTTTGAAGGTGTTTGAAAGAATCTCGAGGGTTCCGTTGTAGTATTTTTGAATTAGTTTGAAAGAATGTTGAGGTTTCGTGAAGAAGTATTTTTGAATCAGTTTGAAAGAATCGCGAAAGTTCCTGTTGTGTTATTTTTGAAAGAGTTAGAAATAATCTCAGAGGTTCCTAACGTAGTATTTTTTAATCAGTTTGAAAGAATGCTAAGGGTTCCTGTTGAAATATTTTTTATTCAGTTTAAAAGCATCCCGACGGTTCCTGTCATAGTATTTTTTAATCAGTTTGAAAGAGTCCCGAGGTTGCTATCGTAGTATTTTAAATTAGTTTGAAAGAATCTCCGGGGTTTCTATCGTATTATTTTTGAAACAGTTTGAAAGAATCCCGATGGTTCTTATTGTTGTAGTATTTTGAGTTAGCTTCAAAGAATTCCGGTGGTTCTTATTCAAGTATTTTTGAATTAGTTTGAAAGAATGCCGAGGGTTCCTATTGCAGTATTTTTGAATTAGTTTGAAAAAAATCCTTAAGATTCCTGTTGTACTATTTTGAATTCGTTTGAAAGAATTCTGGTGGTTCTTATTCAAGTATTTTTGAATTAGTTATCAGTTTGAAAGAATCCCGATGGTTTCTATCGTAGTATTTTTAAATCAGTTAGAAAGAATCCGGAGGATTCCTGTCGTAGTATTTTGAATTAGTTTG